ACGCCGACACCCACTCCTGCACATTGTCGTACCAGTCTATATGGGTTTCCACTTTTCGCCGTGAGTTCCCATATGCGTTTCCTGGCCTACTGTACTACCCCACCGTGAGCTCTCTCGGATATTCCCCGGCCGTAATCCACAATGGCTCTCCAAAGAAAGAGAAGAGATACAAATTCACGGTAATAAATTTATTTGTTTAAAGTGGCGCAGGTCGGTGGAAAAGTTCAGTTTTCGTCTCAAAACAAAACTTACCAAGTAGCTGATTGCGCAAAGATGTCGAGGATTTCATTTTATTGGAAATCACAATGTTCCAAATCAACTCTATCCTCCGCACAGGTTGCGCCGGCACTCAAATGGTTCAGCAGATTCTCCCCACCTGAAAAAAACCCTTAGAGCCTTTGCGGAGGAGAGAGCCAAATCAACTAGTTGTAAAAAACAACAAAAACGAGAATAATCAGCTTGTGTTCCTTTATTAACAAAACTTTCCTTACCAAATATAGTAACACCATTTCTATAGTAGGCATATATAAATCGCTACAAATATATTGAGAAGCAGAATTCCATGTAAAAATCCTCTGAAAATACAACCTCTAGAAATGCAGAGTTTACAGTCCACTCTGACTTTAAAAACCCGTCTTAAACAATTCAGCACCAACTGAAACATGGTATAATGTATGAATCGTTAAATTGTCCCAGTTAGTATCTCTTGAGAAATATGTGGGGACCTGGACCCGTTTGTTCAAGGCGTGGATAACACTACTCGCCAGATAAATCACTATCTTGCCGACCTTGTTCCCAGGGCTTTTCCGTAAGAAATTGGTAAGGGAAAAGCCCTGGAAACGAGGTTCCTATCTAGTGGAATAGTGATAACAAACCAAAAATACGCTATACGGTGGATAGTGTTATACATCCTACAAATAAACAGGACTGGTAAGGAGAATTTATGTGTTGACATCCATGATTAAAAAGTTTCAATCGGATAAAACAGTTATACATTCAAATTCCTTCCTTCCATCCTGAATTCGTCATATTTAATCGTTACTTCTTCTTTTCATTCAGTCTTTTGTTGGTTTGTGCAAAACGCTGTGGTTCATTTTCCCCCCGCTCGCTTCGCTAAAAAAAATAGCTTAGATCATTTTTTCAACAGCACCCGAAATATTGTTAATCCCTGTCGAACGTCTCGAGAATTTAATAACTAATATTTAAGTGCCTTGCTACGACATACTCTTTCATAAGATTTATATTACTACAAATTAAATAACTTTTTAAAGTAAAGACGTTTAAATAAATTGCAATTCTTTGTTCTTTTTCTTCACATTTCCTACAAGAGGTTTAAAAACAAACATTAAAAACCTTATCAACAACCTTCGTTAGGAGTGGTCAAACAATGCAAGAAACAAGCAAAATAATTTTTTCTTAACACAATGCAACTACGTGTCGAAGCAGTTCTCGAAACATATCACGAAACATCAAATCAGTTTTTCCTTTGCAAAAATGTTCCTCAGATCGTAGAAAGCTTCGAAATAACAGCTTTCTAAGAAAGAAAAGCACTAAAGTGCTAATAAAAACCGACAAGAAACAAAGATGGCAGGGATTGGAGAAAATTAAAACGGATTACAAACGAGACCGAGACTAGAAAGAAACTACGTATAACGACTTGTCAGCTGTATGACTTACCTGCATGGCGCGTCCCTTAGTCTCATAAGGAAGTAAGAGCGTGGCAACTAAAGCCATCAGACTTAAAGATATATAAACACCAAGAGACAAGTTCCATGAGACTCTGAGCAATACCTGCAACGATAAAAAGCGCAAAATATCATCAGATTACCACTATTCAAAGAGCTTTTCTCGTTTCTTTGTCAAAGCTAACTGTGTTTGTCTTCGCCGAGCTCAGCTGCAGAGCTCTGCAACTGGGTTGAAAAATATGCGAAACGAATTCTAACCAATAAGAGCAGAGGTGATTTTGTTTCGACCAATCAGGAGAACGTTACTTGGTTTGCGTCCGTTTTCCCGCCCTTAGCGCGGGTTGCAAGTTTTCATTCCAGCTCTGATTGGTTCATTGCATTATTTGCGTCTCTGTGATTGGCCAAACGTGTTTACTTAGCTTTTGTTTTCATGACGGTGATAAGAGGACTGCTCTAAGTCAGAGGACAGAAAGTATTTTCCTGTTGATCTTTACTAGGTTTGTCCAATGGCAGTTGAAACCTAAAATAAAGTCATCACTGGGAGTCTTACAAGCGCTTGCTTAGCCGCGGAAATTAGTAACAGTCATTCTTGAAAAAGAAAAAAATTATCAGTGAAGTCAGCCTGTGACCAAAGCTACTCGGAAGGGTATCACTGCAGGGGCAGATTTAAAAGGAGGGGTGCACTGGGTGTCTAGTCTCCCCCCTAAATCCGTGAGTGTGTGTCGAACTTTAGTTTTCAATTCAGATGGTTTTAGTGGGCGCGTTGCTGCTAAATGCCACCCCCGCTGAAAACTCCTTTATTCGCCCTTACATTGTGTTCTAACAAGCTTGACATAAACATCATTACTTTATATCGTAATATTCAGCTTAGCAAATGCAAATACGAAACAACACATAACGTAGACTATCCCCCGGGGGGGAACTCCCATAAAAAAAGGACGGGGGGTGCGCGTCGGAAATTTTGAAAAGAACCCCTAAGAGGTACCAAGACCCAGTTTTGTGGGCGTGGCTGGAAATTTTTGCCACCCCTAAGAAGTACTCATATTTCTTTGGCTCAAAGTTACTGTAAAAACTCCCGCTGTGGACCTTTTGAGGCTGAACACCCTGAGAGGTACGAAATCCGCCTTTTTTAACCTCTACAAGGTCTGACGAACACCCCCCCTCCTTTTTATACGGGANTCCTTTTTATATGGGAGTCCCCCTCCCCTCTCCCCCCCGGGAGACTATAATGTGTGTCACGAGAACTAGGCTTACCTGAGCCACGTAAGGTGTTACCATTGCTCCAATACGGGTCCAGGTATTGCAACAACCAAAGCCTATTGATCGAACGATCGTGGGGTAAACCTGCAGTTCAAACAGATACAGAACAGAATCAGCGTGAAAGAGGCGACAATTTCTTATACGTACGTCAAGACTCAAGATGATAACAAAACCCTCAGGGTTGATTAGTTAAATAAACCGTGTTCTGAAAATGAACACTTCACCTTGAAAAAACAGCGGGGACCAGGCTCAAGAATCAAATGTGGGAGGGGCGACCAAGGGAAGACAAAGTACCAGAGCCCATTTGATTTCTGCGGTTGTCCTACGGTGCAAAATAGGCTTGGTTCGAAAGTATAGCATGAGTTTACATAACCTTTCAAAAAAGAAATAAGCATCAAGTCCCTAATGGGCGCCCCCTCTCCAATAAGTTCCCTCCCTTGTGCCACCAAAAGTGAATTAGGGTCCCGAGCCCTAAATCGAATCATTACGGTCTACTATAAAATGAAGGTCTAACTGTGATGCACTCACCTCTGGGGCATACACAAAGAAACCCTGGAATACACCTAATGAAAGGCCACGCACCATGAATATAAACAGTAATAAAAGAGTCCTGTTGAAAAGAAGTTTAAAAAACAACTTAAGTTTGAAATTAATAGTTACTTCATTGCTATATAAATTCACAAAAAATGACGCTGCCTGTTGTGAGCTCAATACTGAATATTGGGAAATGTTTTTAATGAATGCGTGCTTATCAAATGTAGATTGTTTAAGCCCTGACCGGGGTCATTGTTTTGTGTTCTTGAGCAAGATAACTTACTCATATAGAGTTTCTCTCCACCCTGGAGTACAAAAATATATAAAATACAGTTGACCCTCCCGTAAGCGACCACCCAAAATGTCAAGCCTTATTCGCTTAGTTAGTTAGAAGTAGTAAGCACTACTTCTAGATGCCCTCAGGCAAGTGACAGCAACCACCAAAAGCCATTTGATTCCTCCAAAACATGGAGACAGACTTAAAATTAACATACAAATGACCTGTGAATTCAGACAGATCTTGTTTCTTCACTGAAAAAAAGTTTTTCAGCGACATAAAAAAAATAAAACAATAAGCAGAAATCCCTTTATGCCTGTAGGCTATCTTACATATTGTGAGAGAATGTGATGTAACAATTCCAATATCTTTTACCTTCCAGTGCAAATATACATCAATGCCAGACTTGCAGCAACTAGGAAAAACTCTCCAGCTAGAGTTCGTTTCCTACCAAGTCTCTCCATAAAAAGCATTGTGAACAATATTCCTGAGCAAAAAATAGAATTGACAAATAGAAAATGAAGGTGTCTGTTTACAGAGATCAGGTGACTGGAGAACTCATTTTTGAGAGTGTTTTTAAAGCACAGAGAAACCCTCTCTCACTCTGTAAAGTTACATGTAAAGGTGGTGGCTTATGAAACTAGTTACTGGTACATGGTGAATCTTACACTGGTATATTACCCCCCTTACAGTGAGTAAGAGGCATTCATAACCTCAAAATTTTGGTCAAGCCTTCTGCGAATTGGAAACAACTTGAAATGGCACATCAAAGTCACAAAAGCTTTAAAGGCAGACTGTCAACGAGGTTCTAGTTCGCAAGAGGCATTCTTCATATTTTTCAGTTTTTTTTTTTTTTTGCATGTATGTTGCACTTCAGTGTGGCAGACAGGTTATGAAATTAATGGCTGATGTAAAGCCAGTCTTGAAAAAGCCTTCCAGTCCCACATGCATCAACAATAATAATCTATTCACTTAGCAAGACCAATGCAGAACATTCACTGAAACATTTTCCTATCCGTCCATCAACATCAAACTTGGTAAATATGCTGTGGTAAAATACTTATTGACTGAAGAATGTAAAGCCTTGCCTGTTCCAAGCATTTGGTTAGTTGAAAAGCAGAGTAAAGAAAGGAGAGAGAAAAGTGTTACAGGAGAGCAGCTGACTACACCCTGCTCCAATTTTTCTCACCCCTTTTCTTGTTGCTAACCAACTGCTAACTGACTGCCTGGAGTAGGCTAGGTAAAACTGGATGGCAAAACATTTGGCCCTCGAGTACATGACATACATAGACATCACTGCACATGAGATAAATTAAATACTTGTGTATATATCTTAATGCACTTTCTCAAACTCCATAATAATTCATCAAGTTTATACAAAGGAAATCATGACCATGATGGCATTTGAATTATCTGGTCTTAATTAGCATAGATTTTTACAATTTTATTTCTCTGTTTTCTCCTTAGTTTTAGTTTCGATTGAGAAGATAAATCAAATACTCAAGACCATGTTTGACCACATTTTCAGACACCTCAAAATTGATGAAAAATACTCTGCCACATGTCGTATTCTCAACTCTCTTCTTGGGGTTTGGAAATGTGGTCAAACACTGTCTTTTGTGCTTGATATATCACATCAAGCAGGCTTGTAAGTAATGAGAATAAAGTGAATCAACAACTAAGCGACACTGATCAAACACAAACCTAACAAACACTTTTGTAAATGTAAAGAAATAAGTTAAGAAGAGTTGATATTAAATCTGGAGCTTGAGATTTGAAACTCACCAGGAAACTCAGCAGCTGTTGTCCACAAAAGACTGATATAGTCATTCACAGTTAAGAGTTTGCAGCCACATTCAGTAACAGACGTGGATAGACTCTCTAACAACAAGTAAAACACTGGAATGAATTCATCAACAAACAACAGCACAGCTACTACAGTCAAACCTCTATTAAGTGGCCACCCCTTATAAAGCGGCCAGTTATCGAAGTCCCAAAATTGTTGTTAACCGGCCACCTTTTATTGGCACATCCCAATGTTTTCTCTATTGTCCTTAAGCAGCCACCAAAATCTAACAAACATATAGTTTGGCAATCTTTTGGAAAGGATGATGACAGGTACACAATAAGTGGTGGTCCAAATAGAATTTGACGGCCAATAAAAACATTCAAATACATGTTGAACATGATTGTCTTAACGTGATCCCATGTTCACTAAGCAATTAACCCAAATATCAAAAAAAATATATTCAGATTTTATGAAGCCTAAGTAATTGGCCATCTGACCACCTCCCACTCCCTTAGGGTGGTCACTTAATAGGTGTTTGACTGTAGATTGCAGAGAACTACTACCTTAGGTAGGTTAAGTCCTGTTCTGGACACTTTAAGGGCCGATTAACACGGTATGACTTTGACACATGTGACAAGCTTGCGACAGGCCTACAATATGACTTAGGAACATTTACACGCGCACGACATTTTCACTTACAAAATTAAATATGCAAAAGTTTGCACTGAGATCTATGGAGCAAAAGCTCTAACAAACGGTAAACAAATATTTCAGCTGTCCTACACTTTGAAAAAACTTTCTAATGAGATGTTTTTCACTTTAATCCATTCAGTACTTTTCGAGAAACGACTTCATGTTAATCAGTCAACAACAACTTCGTCCACCATTTTGACGCAAGAAAACTTCTCCTTTGTCACAAAATATGTCATTCTCTATAAATTTCGGCTACGATTGTCACAGCATTTTAAAACATGTTTTAAAATCCTATGGCAATTTTTTTGACATACACAACAGTCGTAAGCAAGTTGTAGGTTTGATTTACACGAAACAATTCATGTTGTAGGCCTGTCGTAAACTTGTCGCATGCGACAAAGTCATATCGTGTAAATCGGCCCTAACAAGACAACATATTTATTACTGCACTAAAAGGCACCATACTGGGCTGTAGTAGTCTTATGATTGATCGAACCTTAGTATAAAAAAACAACTTAAATAAGCATCTGCTTAGTAGAAGAGTCTACCTTAGAGTTCTAGAGGCATCCCCTTAGAGGAAGTGTCTCAAGCAATTTACCCAAGTTGGACAATTTAATATGCTTGTTACAGTGATTGCAAAAATAGGGAAGTGTGCCTGCCACTGTCATGGTGATTGTCACTAGCGATTAATCGTTCTGGACCAGGTCGTTCAAAGCCTGATTAAGCTAACCAGGATTAGCAAGAATTTTGATTTCAGTTTTGTAAATCTCTGGTGAGGTTTTCTGTTTATATTGCTTGTTCTTCACTTTTGAGTTGAATAATCTAAAACTACGCAACACTTAGGAAGTGCCAAACATTTTTATACAAGAAAATTTAATACTTTAGTTACCTTTTAATCCTGGGTTAGCGTTAACCGGCTTTTGAACAATCCAGCTCTGATCACTATGATGGGCAAGCAAAATTGACAATATCTAGCTTAAAATGTGCCCC